GGAGTGCCGAGCAGCCCCCCAACCTCTCGCTCGGAAGCAGGGACCCCCACCTCAAGGGGCTGGAGCCTCTGCAGCTGGAGGGGCTGGGATGGGGATTGGCCTCCAGAGGAAGGGGTTCAGAGAGGCCCACATTGGGTCCGGGGCTCAAGGGGCCCCTGAGTACACATGGCAGACCCTGCTCCACCGACAAATCAGACTGCCCAGGGGCTGGGGTAGGCCGAGAGGGTCTTCAGTCCCAGCCCTCAAGAGGTGGGGCCGGACAGTGGCACTATTGCACCCCAAGACCGCAGAGTCCCCCCCCAGGCGGGCTCTTCTCCCCGCTGAGCTCACTCCTACCTCCTGGGCTGTTTGGGGTGGGGGATCTTGCAGATCTCTGGCCTTGCGGCGTCTTATCTTGATGGCCTGGCGCAAGAGGGGAGGGCGCCGCTGGGAGTGGGAGAGGGGTGTCGCCATGGTGGCGCTCTGCCCTTCCCCTCTGCTGGCTGCCGCTGGTGACTACAGCGAAGCCACAGAGTTATGCAAAGAGCCCTGGGTTGTCACCCTCTGCCAGGGTGGAGGAAGGGAGGGCAGTTAGGGGGCTGGAAGGGTCAGGGTTTCGCCACCTCCGGGGCTGTCTCACAGGCCCCCAGCGCCCTTCTCCAGCCGGGATCCTTGCAGGACCCTCCCAGGTTGGAGTAGAGGTGGACCCAGAGAACACCCCGGCCCCGCCCAGCCACCAACGGAGGCCCTGGGGAGGGTCCATGCTACCAGCAGGGCGGTGGCCCAGGCCCACCAGGACCCGCCCCACCCATGCCTGGGGTTCTCACCCACAGACTTTCCTGAATGGGCCCCAGTCCTGGGTTGGGGGACAGGGCTCAGGGTGGGGCTCCTGACACGCGCCTGCCCAGCAGGACCAACTGCTCAGCAGACTCCGCCCCACAGGTGACATTCCATGGAGGTGACAGGGCCAAGCCATGTTGGGCAGGGACCAGCCCTGCGGCCCCTGCCTCCACCCATGACGGTCAGGAGGGTGCTCCCTTCAAATGTCCTTGTAGGGGGTTTAGCTAAATATGGAGTGAGCCTGGGCGGGGCTGGCCAGAGGAAGCGGCAGGCTCGGCCACACTGCGAGTCTCTCCCAGGAGAGCAACTCTCTCCACAGAGACAGAACAGACACTTCGGCTTGCCTTTCTCAGCACTTGTAGCCCACCAAGCCTGGGCCGTGCCTGGCCATGATCCTTGGCCATTTCCCATCCTCCTGTCCCACCCCCCAGGTTCACAGGGGTGGCCTAAGGACACACACTGCAGTGGCAGCCAGGCAGAGCTGCCCGGCCCAGCCTCGAGCAGGCGTCCCTAGAACACGCCCTGACATGCTTCATACTTGCTGGGCCTAAGGTGCTTCCTCCTCACTCGAGGCCGGACGCAGGCTGCAGTCACTCAGGGAGCCAGCAGGGGGCAGTCTGGGACACAGGCCAGGGAGCCTCAGTGGGTGAACCCCCTTGCTGAGCCACAGCCTCCAGGTGGTGGGAAGGAGCCATGGGAACCCCAGGGACTGGAGAACGAGGCTCCCAAGTGCCCAGGCCCCTGCAGGCAGACAGCTCCCCTGTGGCGCACCCCCACCCATCACCCCAGAAACCAGACAGGGTCCAGTTACTTCATTCTTTACTAGTTCACATTTTTAGCAAACAAATCAAGGTGCAAACAGGATTTATTTCACATTAATATATTAACTGGATTTTTTGTCAAATAAATAGGGAATTCTCTTTAAATACCCATCTCCTCACTTTGTGGCCCACCCAGGCACCCAGAGATTTTATGCACCCAAGGGGCATGAAGCTCAATGCCCGCAGGGCCTCGCTCCAGGCCCAGGGTGCCACCCCGAGGGCCGGGCAGACACACACTTTCCAGGGGAGAAGGCCTTCTTAGGGGAGTGATGGAGGGGCAGGCAAACTCCAGGAAAAAAGGAGGGGGCATTCGGCCACCAAGTCCTGGAAGCTCCCGCGACAGCTCCCATAGTCACAGAAGTGGCAAGAGAAGAACCAAGGAAGGGGGGGGCAGTGGGACAGGCCGGAGCCTGGCTGCCTGGAATCCGGGCTGATGGCCCGGGGGGAACAGTGGCTTCCAGGGCCCGGCCCAAACCCGGCGCCGGACCCCCCAGCCGCAGGAATGTGAGCGGGCCGGCGGGCCCACGGGAAGATGCATGGCTGGTCGGATGGGGCTTGCCAGGCCGAGTGCAGTGGCTACCAGACCGACGGGCTGGCCTGCAGTGCAGGAGGTGGCAGAGTCCCTCCTGGGGAGAAGCTACCAGAGCGCAAGAGGAATAAGGGGCCACCCTGTGCTCCCCGGGAGAGCCCGAGAGATGGTGAGGGGCCAGGCCGGGCAGCGCCTGGGTTGGGGGCTCGGCACATGGGAAGCTGGGTGGCACCTCTCCAGAGGCCAGGGCCACGCCTCGCACAAGGCAGGATCCGGCAGCTGTTTATCATCATGCCTGGAGGAAGAACAAGGCCCGCCCTCACCTCCCCAGACACTGCCCCAAGGGGAGGGATAGGAAAGCCATGAGGGTGGGAGGCAGGAAGGCAGGAGGGGTCTACTGGGTCTTCTTATCCTCTGGAGGGTAGTAGGGAGGTGGCGGAGGCTGGCTCTGAAGAAGGAAGAGGAGGAAGAAAGGGAAGACCGTGTTAGAAGGTTCAAAAGCAGGTGAGGCCTCCCTGCCCGAACTCCAGGCCTGGGCCGCTCACCGTGGGCATGTAGACGTCGTGTGGGTTGCCCGGGTTGTAATAGGCGCTGGCAGCTGCTTCCGCGGCCTTGGCTTCGGCTGAGAGAGCAAACACACCCACGTGGGTCACAAGCCCTCCCTGCTCCTGCAGCTTCCCCGGCTGTGCTCAGGGGACCCGGCCCCCGAGGCTCTGGGCAGCTGTGCTGGGGCCCATCCCATCACAGAAACAGCAGTGACCATCGCCAGGAGCTGGCACCGACATTTCCAGACCCGTGACGTGTCCCCCCACCCAGGTGGTGTGCTGGCCACCTGTTCGGTGAGAAGGCTACGGCTGACGGGACAGCTTCCCAGCCCGGCAGAGAGCTAAGGGGAGCGGGCAGCACTCGGGGACAGCTCCTCCCCAGGAGGCCCCTGCCCTGTCCATCTCCCCC